GTCGTCAGGGGCAGGGCCTAAAGGCGTAGGGTCGGGGGGCGCAGGGAGGGCACCAGTAGCGTGCGCCCAGAGGGTCTCGCCTGCCTGGACCTGACTCTCTAACAGACGGCGAGCGCGAAGAAGCCAGACGGAAAAATCAAGAGGTCTACCGTCAGCGTCGAAACGAAGTACACGCTGAGTCGCCATAGTGGAAACTAACGCAAAAGTGTCGGTAGGGGACAGCAGAAGGCGAGTGGGAGACTAGGGTTAAGCAGTACCCTTGGACAACGGAAGCGAACGACGGACGAGGCAGCGGGCAACGGGAGCGGACGCAGCGGTGGAAAACGGAAGTGGGGCGCAGCGGCGACGCGCGTAGAGGCGGCCTGGGCGACGGGCTAGGGCGCGAGCTGGGGAGACGGGCTGGGGCGCAGACCAGGGTGACAGGTTAGGGCGCAGGCTGGGGCGACGGGCTTGGGCGCGGGCCTGGGCGACGGGCTAGGGCGCGGGCCACGGCGACGGGCTAGGGCGCGGGCCTGGGCGACGGGCTGGGGCGCGGGCCTGGGCGACGGGCTAGGGCGCGGGCTGGTACGCGACGCGACGGGGAGGGGGACGGGAGCGACGCGTCGGGGGGAGGGGGGCGGGCGCGACGCGACGGGGGGAAACGCGACGCGACGGGAGGAGGGGGACGGGCGCGACGCGACGGGGGGAAACGCGACGCGACGGGAGGAGGGGGGGGACGGGCGCGACGCGACGGGGGGAAGGGGACGGGTGCGACGTAGGGGAGCGGGGGAAAGCGGACACTACCGCGGAAGGGCCGGCGCTAGGCTCGGTAGCTACAGGAACGGGACGGACGAGAGCGAGGATCAGGCTCGGGAGGTACGAACGATGAACGGAGGAACGGGATCCCACAGGATCCTAACCTAACTGATACCATGTCAGAATGAGGAATGGATGATGCATTGATGTTGGTTGAGGTACATATAGCTAACCCTAAGTTTTGTACCCCCCTATGACAATCCTCACTATAGGCTACAACATTTGACATCTGCACCACAAATCCCCCCCTTCTGCTTTTCCCAGCGCAGCAGCGTCGCTTGGCGGTTGAAAGGCTCCAATCCCTGCGGCGCGTGGCCCGTGATGATGCCACCTTGGCCCGTTTGACTTCCCTTCAGGGCCCGGGTGCAGCAGCATGGGTGTCCACGGTTCCAGCACATGATGACGCTACGTTCGCCCCCGTGGATTGTCACGACTACCATTCGTTTAGGCCTTCCTGTCCACCAACTTTTGGTTGCTAAGAAGTGTGTTTGCGGCAAAGAGTTCAAGGACCCGTCAGACCCTCACCATGCTCCTCGCTGCAAGCACCAATATGCACCGTCTCGCGTCCATGATGCGGTGAAGCTTGTAGTCGCTAAGATAGCCAAGGCGTCAGGGGGGGGTGGTTCGATCGAGAACGACACACTCCTGACGGGGAAGAGAGTGGACGTGGCGGTGAAGAAACCAATGGATGGAGAAAAACATGCACTCGAGGTGAGCGTCATCGATCCGGTCTCGCTACCAGTGCAACAGAATGGGCATTGTGGCCGGACAGTCGGTTTTGCAGCCAAGGAGCGAGAGAAGAGGAAGGCGGCTGATTATTATCCTTTCCGACAGCAGCACAGGGGGTTGGTTTCTTCCCGTTGATTCTAGAGACTTGGGGCTGTTTGGGGGGAAGCTTCCGACAGTGGTTAAGACAGCAGGGGGAAGTTCAACTGAAGGTGGCTCTTAACAAAGGCGTGGGAAGGGGCAACAGCTCGGGTTTCTCAGAGTATTTGGTAGGGTCCTTGACAGCCACGGTAGGGGTAGCTTTGCAGAGGGCATAGGCTCGGGTGATTCTTTTACGAGCGGCATGCATGTTGGGCGAGTCTGAGGTGGATTGGGTGGTTCGGAAGGGGGAGGAGTAGGAGTTTGGGGAGAGAGCACCATGGGTGGACGTGCCATACTTGGTTGACATGCGACTGTATATGTCTCGAAAATTAGAACTTTCTTTAGGGTTTTAGTTTAGACATTTTTATGTTTGAGATAGTAAGACATTCCTAGGAAGGGTTTTAGTGCATATTGCAAGCGATGGAAGGTAGAGCGAAAGCGTGTACATTAGCGAGAAAACTGGAGCGTCCGAAATAGATGCTAGTTGTCAAATGAAACCATCAAGAAATTCCTACTGATTTGGCATTCCCATACTTAACCCAAGCTCTCAAGAAAAACCTTCTCTTCCTTTTAATGCCTACAGTCGCATGTTAACCAAATACATCGCATCTACCTATACAATCCCCCCCTCTCCCCCCCCCCACCCCAATAACTTGATCCTCACTCTGTCCATCCGTCCGATTCACCTCCGACCCCCCTATGGTCCGTGGTGCATGCAAAATAATCACACGAGCCTGTAACACCTACAAAGCTACCTATGCCGTTGCTGTGAAGGACCTAACCATGTACGCTGAGAAGCTTGAACCGTTGCCCCTTTCCACACTTTTCTTAAGAGCCACCTTAAAATGAATATCTTCTTTCTTTCGTAACCATTGTCAGAAGATCCCCCCCAAGCAGCCCTGAGTCTTCGTAATCAATGGGGCGAAATGTGCTAATACATGAAAGGGTGGCAATCTACCGCTTTCCTCTTCTCTCACTCCCTGGCTGCATAACCAACTCTCCGTCCAGACTGCCCCCATGCTGCTACCCCATGAGAGGAATAGCATTTACGACACTCACCTCGAGTGCATGTGCTTCCCTGCCCATCGGCCACCTAACCGCCACGTCCACCCTCTTGCCAAATAGTAGCATGCCACTCTCAATCGTAACCACCCCACCCGACGTGTTGCCTACATTGGCGACCACGAGGTTCACATGTCATGAACACGAGAAGGGGCATACTTGTGTTTGCAGCGAAGGGCATGGTGAAGATCTGAAAGGTCCATGAACTCCCTCCACAAACACACATGCTGGCAATTAAAAATTTCTAGACAGGCAAGCTCAATCCAGGAGGATTGCAGTGAAAATGCTCCACGCAACATGAGTGAAAGTAGTGTTATCATGTGGGATTATGTATACCTATGCAGCTGCACGTGGGCCCTGAAGGAACGGGCCACAGTAGCGCCAACATGGGCCATACGCCACAGATATTGAAGACTTTCACTGTGAGGATCTAGGATCGAACTCAGGAAAGAGGGTTTGAATTGAATGAATCACCTGGGTACAACACGAGGCTATATATAGGCTCGACACAAGGCCCAGTAACCAGGTGTTACGCGAAGGTTCCGAGGGTTGCGAAGCGTCCCGAACAGACCCTTCCCGAATTCGGTAAAAGGCAATTCGGTGGCAACCGAAAAGCCCAGAATTCGGTGTACGCAACCTAGCTCGGTGCTATAACTATAATAAAATATAGGAAAGCAAGCAATTTATGCATGCATGAAACAAACCTATGGTAGAAATAGCATAATAAAGTCAAGGCAAGCAAGCATAGCTGGCATAAGCCATCGTATTCTCACACGTCCTCCCCTCAAAGCTGGGTGGCGTGAGATACATCCTGCTTGACAAGATAGTCCTTGAGAGCACGGCGTGCGTTGCCCATATCAGCTTCTGCAACCCAACTGTCCTCAGTGGGGTCGTATCCCTTCCAGCGTATCAGGAACTCGAGGGTCTTGCCGCCGCGGCGCCGATGAGTGAGAACACGCTCGATCTCGTACTCTGGTTCATCCTGTACGAGTACAGGTGGTGGTGGCGGTAGCTGCCGTCCCTAGAACTGTTGGTTGGGGTCCTTGTAGGGCTTCAGCAGCTGAACATGGAAAGCGTTGTGAAGCTTCCACGTAGTAGGTAAGCGCAAGCGGAATGTAACTGGTGTCACCTGTGCCTCCACGAGAAATGGACCACAGAAGCGAGGCCGGAGCTTGGATGGTAGGTGAGACAGGTTCAAGTTGCGCGTGTCGAGAAGCACTTGATCTCCGACTGCTACTGAGTGATCTCGTCGTTGGCGATCGGCATACTGCTTCTGGGAGTTCTGCATCGTGGTGAGATGTCGCGGTGTTCTCCCTTAGCCGCTGCATGGTGGAAACGTTATTGTAAGCGAACTCTAGGGTTGGTAACTGTGTATCCCAGTGGCTGATGTCGTCTTTGCAAGCTGTGCACAGTAACTGTTCAACCACCTGATTGAGTTGCTCTGTCTGTCCGTCAGTCTGGGAATAGTATGCTGAAGACATCGCAAGCTTTGTCCCCAACAATCCCATGAGTTCCCTCCTTCTAGAACTAACTCGTGAATTTAGGGTCTCTATTTGAGATGAGTGTAGCGGGGATGCCGTGGATGGTGATGATGCGGTCGAAGAAGAGGCGAGCAGTTGCTTCAACTGTAGCCATGGCGTTGGTCGGGATGAAGTGACCCATTTTGGAGAATTTATCGATCACTAAGAGGATAGAGTCATGCCCCCGTGAGGTCGAAGGAAGTTCCGTGATGAAGTTTAAGCTAACGACCTGCCATGGTTGTTCCGGTACGGGTAGAGGCTGAAGTAACCCTGCTTTTTTCTGCTTGCTGCTTTTCATCCGCTGGCACGTGTCGCATGAGGTGACGAACTGCTGCACGTCTGCTGCCATCTGGGGCCAGTAGTAATACTTTGCTATTCCCGCTAATGTCTTGTTGCTCCCGAAATGTCCCGCGTATGGTACGTCGTGAAACTCCTCTAGAAGGATCTGCCGTAGCGGGGCGTAATTCGGTACCCAAATCTTTCCTGATCCCTTCCTTACAGCTAAGTCTTTTTCCCACTTTAACAACTTCTGTTTCTCTGCCGTTGCTATCTCTGCGTCCACGGAGTACCCATGTTGGAATAGACCCTTGAGCAGAGGGTTCATCCCGTCGAGCTGGATGCCTGCTACATGTCCGGGGCGGCTCAACGCGTCTGCCTTGTTGTCTAGTCCGGGTTTGTAGACGATGTCGTTGTAGAAGTGGGTCTCCAAGAAGTCCACCCTCCGTACCTGTCGTCGTGAGAGCGTCGGCTGCGACTTCAGGTATTTGAGACTGCATTGGTCCGTATAAACTGTGGTCTCGGCTCCTCTAGATAACACCTCCATGCCTTGAAGGCTACGACTATAGCTAAGGCTTCCTTGTCGTGAATGGGGTAGTTTAGTTCTGCTCCGTGTAACTTCTTACTGAGGTAAGCGATATGCTGTAGACCGTGTCCGTGGTCCTGCATCAGTACTGCTCCGACTGCCTGGTCACTAGCGTCTGCTTCAACTACGTAGTCCTTGTCTGGGTCCGGTAGGATGAAAACTGGCGTTGTGGTCAGTGCTGTCTGTAGCTGTTCCATGGCTTGCTGATGAGGAGTATCCCATTTGAAGGGCGTATCCTTTTTCAGTAGAACGGTCAGTGGCGTTGCTATCTTAGCATACTGCGGCACGAACCTGTTGTAGTAGTTGGCGAAGCCTAGGAACTGCTGCAACTCTTTCACGTTCTCCGATACTTTCCAGTTCTTAACGGCTTCGATCTTCCGCGGGTCCACGTGTACGCCCTCCGCACTCACCATGTGCCCGAGAAACTTCACGTAGAACTGCACCTTCTTCAGTGCAAAGTCGCTCTTCGACAGCTTCACGTAGAACTTGTTTTTCCGCAGGATCTCGAACACCTTCCGCAGATGCTCCACGTGCTCCTTCATGTTCTTGGAGTAGATGAGGATATCGTCCAGGTACACTACTACGCACTCGTCTAGCAGGGGCCGTAGAGTATGGTTCATCTCCGCCTGGAACGTCGCTGGTGCGTTGCAGAGTCCGAACGGCATCACCAAGTATTCGTAGGAGCCGTATCTCGTACGGAACGCTGTCTTGTGGATCGAGTTGTCCGCCATCTTGATCTGCCAGTAACCTGACCGTAGGTCCAGCTTCGAAAAGACTGTTGCACCACGCAGTTGGTCCAGTAGGTCGTGTCAGAAGTCTAGGCAGGAATGAGAAACAGGAAAGAGGGGTTTTCACTAGCAGGCAGTTGAGTACATATAGGAAACCCTAATTTGGGCTATACTCGCTATAGAGTACCCCACTGCAGGCTAGACAAACATCACATTCTGACACACCCCCATAGTCAAAGTGGGGTATAATCAGCACAACAAGCAGGCAGAGCAATAGTTCACAATGATAAGCAAAGCTAGAGGCTATCACAGAGGGCAAGTGAGGAGGAGGAGAAACTGTGGAGGCGAGAAGATGGGAGGCGACGGCTGAAGCTGCAGACACACGGGCAACAGGAGTGCGCAGCACTGTGGCTACCAGGTGCAGAGCCCCGGAATACACGGCGACAGGCGCAGCTGGCTCTCTGTGCTCCCAGGAGTGCGCAGCACTGTCGCTACCAGGCGCAGAGCCCCGGACTACACGGCGACAGGCGCAGCTGGCTCTCTGGACTACAGGCGCTGCGGACAACAAGATGGCTGCCTCCACTCAACTTCCCCCAGCTGTCCCACACCCCTTTCACACACCCCCTGCTGTACCTCTAGCACTGCTCACACGCCACCCCCCTCGTACCACTCCGACGGCTCCAACACATCCACCCCCCTCAGCGGCAGCTGCAGCAGTGGGAGACGGAGGAGGAGGAGGAGCAAGGGACGGCGCACACACCCGTCACCCCCATACTCGCCACCCCCAAACCCTAACACAGGCAGCACGGGGCAGGAGCGCGAGCAGCAGCGGGGGCGGTGCTCGTGCTGAAGCGGAACGGCGCGCGGCTCCCCAGGGCGCCGCGACAGGGCAACGGGGGCCGCGCGCGGCTCCCCAGGGCGCCGCGACGGGGCAGCGGGGGCCACGCGCGGCTCCCCAGGGCGTCGCGACGAGGCTGCGAGGGCCGCGCGCGGCTCCCCAGGGCGCCGCGACGGGGCAGCGAGAGCGACGCGCAGGCCTTCGGGGCGACGCGACGGGCTCCGGGGGGGCGACGTGACAGTCGACGGGGGGCGACGCGCGGGTCGACGGGGCAGGAAACCGCCGCGCGCTCGCGCACCCTGAGCGCGCGGCAGGCAGAAAACATCGCGCACCCAGGGCGTGCGATAGGCAGGACAGCAGCGGAAGCATCGGGTGGGCCCACCCACAGGATCGACCCAGGAGGGTCGACCTGCTCTGATAGCATGTCAGAAGTCTAGGCAGGAATGAGAAACAGGAAAGAGGGGTTTTCACTAGCAGGCAGTTGAGTACATATAGCAAACCCTAATTTGGGCTATACTCGCTATAGAGTACCCCACTGCAGGCTAGACAAACATCATATTTTGACAGGTCGTCTATGCGCGGTATGGGGTATTTATTTTTAACTGTCTGTTTGTTCAGTGCGCGGTAGTCGATGCACATCCGTAGACTACCGTCTGGCTTTGGGGTGAAGAGAACTGGTGCACCGTAGGGAGATGTGGATGGGCGGATCAGTTGTCTGTCTAGTAGGTACTCGATCTGTTTTTTTCATGTCTGTCATTTCGGTCGGACTCGGTCAGTATGGTGCACGTGAGACGGGTTTCGCACCTGGTTCCTCCACGATCTCGTGCTCGTGGGTGCGCGCTGGAGGTACGCCTGCGGGTAGGTCGTCGGACATTATGTCCTTATACTGCTCCAAGACCTCCTTCACTGCTGCAGGTAGCTCCGAAATCGTCTTCTCCTCCTCTGTTGCTGCCATAACCAGTGCTAAGTAACCCGTGTTACTCTCGTTCACCGTCCGTTTGAACCGTGCCAGTGTCCTTTCAGGAACATCCCCTGTATCCGTCCAGCTTCGCAGTGCTATCCGCTTCCCGTTGTTGTAGATGCACACTTTACTGTTGACCCAATCGATCTCGGGGTTGAACTGCTTCAGGAAATCTCGCCCCAAGATAAAATCTAACCCTTTGATGTTGGTGACTGGTAGCTTCGGCTTCCACCTCAACGCACCTATATGCAGCTGCAGGGAAGTTGCGCCGTGGATGGGAAGCTTCGTACCGTCCACCATCGTTGCTGAAAATTGGGTTTCCTTCGCCTTCTCTCCAATCTTCTCCAATGTTCCGCGGTCGCACACTGAATGAGATGCACCGCTATCCACCAGTGCCTGGAGGCGTCGCCCATTGCATAACACCTCGAGGAGTAGTGGTTTCTGCTGCGCTGAGTAGCCAAAGAGGGTCTCATTAATAGGATCATAGGGTACATCAAAATGAATACCTTCCCTATTTCCTATACCTGACTCAGCACTTTTCACTTCCAACTTCACCTGGGGGGTAGGAGGATTTTTCCGAGGCTTGTATAATTTCTCCTGAGCCTGGATTCGTTCTCTAAGCCTTTGCAGATGTGTAGGCTTCACCTGTGGGCAACGGGGAGCCTTAACACTATGCTGCGGGGAGAGAATGTTAAATCCACTCGAGTGCTGGTCCCCGCAACAGTGTCGCTGCGAGCCGAATTCGTGCTGCATCGTGAGTCGAGGTCGAATAGCCAATGGCCTCGAAGTAAATTTCGAGGGTCGCCATGAATCGTCGAACGTCCGATCCTTTCGCGCTTGGATCGAATGCTTCAGGGAGCGTCGGGCGAGCTGCTTCGAGGTTCGGCGACGGTGGTGCCATCGGTCCGTGAAATGTCGGTGTCGCCACTGCTGCTACTGCTGTCGCTGCTACATTCGCTGCTACTGCTGCGGTGGCGGCTACTGGTTGGTGTGTCAGGAGGGCTTCGATTCGCCGAATCGCCGCCTGCGTCTGTTCCACGTCGGAGCGAAGGCTGGCGATGTCGCTTGTCGTCGCGTAATTGTCGCCTTGGCCCTCCATGCCTGACATTGCGCGTTTGAAAAAACCGAAACGAGGAGGAGCGAAAAACACGGAACCGGTTTTACGTACCCGAAACCGGTCGTCGCCCCCGCGATTTTATATTTCTCGGTTTTAGCGATCGAAAAAACTGCCGCGTGCAAACGGGCTCTGAACACCAAGTGTGAGGATCTAGGATCGAGCTCAGGAAAGAGGGTTTGAATTGAGTGAATCACCTAGGTACAACACGAGGCTATATATAGGCTCGACACAAGGCCCAGTAACCAGGTGTTACGCGAAGGTTCCGAGGGTTGCGAAGCGTCCCGAACAGACCCTTCCCGAATTCGGTAGAAGGCAATTCAGTGGCAACCGAAAAGCCCAGAATTCGGTGTACGCAACCTAGCTCGGTGCTATAACTATAATGAAATTTAGGAAAGCACCTAGCCTAGGAATCAAGCAATCCATGCTAGAAATAGCTGTCAGAGGTCCACTGGAGATCCCCGATTGATCCTAGGGAAGGGTTACAAGCACGTCGGCCTGGGGGGTTATGGGCGCACTCACCCGCTACACAAACAAGCCCTTTTATCCCAATGGTTAGTGGTTGGGATTCTGACATGGTATCAGAACGAAGGTCTCGGGTTCGAATCCTGGTGTGTGCACCTCGGGCATCCCAGTGCGGGGGGGTGTCAGAGGTCCACTGGAGATCCCCGATTGATCCTAGGGAAGGGTTACAGGCACGTCGGCCTGGGGGGTTATGGGCGCACTCACCCGCTACACAAACAAGCCCTTTTATCCCAATGGTTAGTGGTTGGGATTCTGACAATAGCATAATAAAGTTAAGGCAAACAAGCATAGCTGGCATAAGCCAAGTAACGCAATTGCTCAATGAAAAATAAAAGGGGGGGAAATCATCGTGCACAACCCCAAGCTCTGCAACTCCTGCCTATCAGCAGGCGGGAGCTGGTCAATAACCTTGGTAAACCAAGGCTAAATCCCTAGCTTGTGAAGTGCGAAAAAGCATATGCTCCACGCTCGCCACTCCCAACTTGGTATGACACTCGCGTCCTTGCACCACCCACAAATATAAGAAATGGGGCTAAGAACCGCTAGCGAACGAATGCTCAAACCACTCAGTGTTGTCGAAAGGTACAACTGTGAACGAGCCATACGCGACCTATTGGGGCTGATGTCCCAAGTAGCATGCGGAAAGAGCTGCTCAAAAGACTCTTTCAGCAAAAAGCGTCAACTGTTGACAGGAGTGGAGTGTTAGCCCCGCCTTCGCTTGGGCGAAACCGACGTGTTGGTCGGGTACGCGGGAGGTTCGGCCGACCACCTGCAGAGTTCGACACGTGCAGGTCGACCTACGGGCGATCGATGTAGTGCCGCTATCGATGGGAGCTGGCGGTCTAGTTCGACATGGGAGGTTGATGACGTAGTTAGTCGAAGATGGAAGCTCGACTGCAGCGACTGATCTGTGTTGGAAGTGGACACTGGAATGGCCCGAAATGGTCTCCCTAAGGGCTACAGGTGTCGTCCTGGGGGGGTATGGGTGCGCTGACCCACCAAGGAAACATGCCCTTTTAGCCCAGTTGGTTAGCGAACTGGATATGGTGCAGTGGGCGTGGGGGACTAGGGTTCAATTCTTGCTGATGGCGACTTCTAGTGCCCTTGTGGTGGGCCCTCCCAGTGAGGGGAGTGTTGGAAATGGACAATGGAAAGGCCCGAAATGGTCTCCCTGAGGGCTACAGTTGTCGACCTGGGGGGGTATGGGTGTAGCCCAGTTGGTTAGCGAACTGGACAATCTGGTCAATCGAAGGAAGGGTTAGTCGACCAGGAAGTGTTCGACAAACGCGGTGGTCGACGAGGGAGGTCGTCGACCAGGCCGCTGGGTGGTCGACCCGGTCGACCAGTTTACCTCCTCAACGAGGTTCTGCGGTGGCGCATGGACGTCGTCGAGGCTGCGATGGCGAAGACGACCTCGGGCTGTTATCCCGAGGTCGACATGGAGCCTCTGGCGCGAATGTCGACACGTGACCGACCTGGCATCTGCGCGACGGAAGAGAACGTGCTCGATCGTCGCCGCGCACTTGCGAAGTATTGTCACCTATGGTTGCAACGCTGACAGACCGCTCGGCCGCAGAATTGGCAATCCGCCCTGATGCGGCGTTGCCAAGTCGCGGACTTGCTCCATTGGCAGGTCGCACTTCTGCAACGCTGGTGCGGTGCCTCTACGCAACGCTGGTAGACTGTCGACCGTGCTGCGCTAGCGGCCGACCAGCTTGCCTGCTAGGTTGCTAGGCTCTGATGTAGTCATTCTTGCCATTGCTTGTTCAACCATTGTTGTGAACCTTTGCTAGTGAAACTCTTGCCAATTCTCCCCGTGAATGTGTGCGTAGAGAGAACAACAACAAAAACGCAAGGGAACGCTACGGTCACTCTAGAACCCGTGCCCTCTCGTAGTCTAGCTCCCATTGTAGAGTGTATGTCATCATCAACGACCTCCGAATGAGGAGGGACAACACGAGTCAATAAAAGCCAACACATAAACATGGCAATAGCTAGTAGGTGGGAGTTAATATGAAAGTCATTCAGAATGGGGAGCCAAGGCAATGGTAATAGGAGTCGTGTAAGTCAGTTCCTCAAGCGCGCTACTGCCTAGTCCTCCTCTCCGGTAAAAACTACCACCACTCTTAACCCATTCTGGGACTGCTACATCCTTAACATTTTATCTCTATACGTTTCCGCTGCTTTTCGTTCCCATAGCGCACGCTTGTGCGATTACACCTTCGGACCCACCCAATCTAGTCGCTCTTATAGGAAATTACACGTAGCCAACACATGTTCTCTTGGCCCTAGAACGTAGGTGTCATCGGCGTAGCTAAGATCCTTCAAACTGGATTATATTGCCGCAAGATTATTTACAGAATGCTTAAATGTGTGATGAAGGCGTGCGTTCATGCCGGAGTGGTTAACGGGACAGACTCGAAATCTGTTGGGCTCTGCCCGCGCAGGTTCGAATCCTGCTGAACGCGAATTTTGATTTTCCTGTCTTGTAATAATCAAGGGCAGAGCTGTTATAACCTCCTCGTATTTTTGGCCATACTGGTATTGGGCAGTGGTGAACCCCTTTCAAGCCTGGTGCTGGGCTGTGGTGAACCCATGCCAGGCCTGGTGCTGGGCTGTGGTGAACCCATGCCAGGCCTGGTGCTGGGCTGCGGTGAACCCATGCCAGGCCTGGTGCTGGGCTGTGGTGAACCCATGCCAGGCCTGGTGCTGGGCTGCAGTGAACCCATTCCAGGCCTGGTGGTGCTTTCTCGCAAAAGGTTGTGAAGAGAAATACCCTTTAGAGTACATTCGGGCCTTGACATGTCACAATCGATCCTACCGCACTGCATCGTAGTACACCGAATTACACCCAAGTATCGAACATTGCCGAAAAATCTTCGAACTTTGGTAGAGTTCGGTGCCGAGCGGTACATTCGATTCTGACGCAAATTTTTGTGACGTGTGAAGGCCCGAATGTACCCTTAGATACATGAAACACAAGCCATCAGTTTAGTTTTGTCATTAAGCTACAGTACAAATGATATATACAGATGGCTTTTGACTCAAAATTCGTTTGCATTTAGGGAAGAAACTCCAAAACAATTTCAAGCGAACAGCCAGTGCTTCTTTTTTGGCTGAGGTGGAGGGAGGCCTGCAAGCAACAGAGAACGACGGTAAAGAAAGGCGATTAACATAGGTACAACCACTACATTGGCTTCACTATGCAAGAATGGTGCTTGGCGTGGG